ACAGTGAACAAGGCAGGCACGGTTTCTTATGGAATGACAATAAGTACATAAAAAAGAGAACTTTTACTGGGATTAATACTATGAAGTAAACAAAGCGGGACAATGTGACAGAGGGATAAGGACGTTAGCTGGAGAAGCGCTAGTAGTCAGGCCTTTGTAAGGAGGTAACATTTGAGCTCAAAGAACAAAAAGGATCTGGTTATGTTTAGATCAGGAGTAAAGAGTAAAGAGCAAGTACAAAGGCTCTGAGATATTAATCAACTGGGTTTTGTTTGTTTGTTTGTTTGTTTTGTTTTGTTTTAAGGCAGCAGGTGTGGCTGGCATAGAGTAAACTAAGGGAAAAGAGGAGAAGAGGTCAAAGAAGCAGGTCAGGGCTGGAATATGCAGGCTACACTAAGTTTGGACTCTATTTTAACAGCATAGAAAACCACTGGAGGACTTTAAGTGTAAAGTAACAGAATCTAAATTACATTAGAAAATTTACATTGATTGTTAAGTGGTAAAGAAATTGCAGGTGCTCTTGAACTTCCTTCCACACGCAGACAGGTTAGGAGACCATGCCATGGGGGGCTGGACGGCACAGTGGCAGTGAAGATGGACAGAAATAAACAGACAGGTGATAAATTTCAAAGGCATGGCTGGTAGGATGTGCTATTGAACACAGGAAGTAGGGTGTGGGAAAGAGGAATCAAAGAAGTCTCCTGGGGATTTCACTTGAGCAAATTTGCTAAAATGGGGAAAGAGTAGGAAATATCGACTATTTTGGACTAAGAAAGTTTTAGATGCCTATTACATATCCAACCAGAAAAATAGCACACAGCAGGCACTTGCTGTATTCTTTTAAAAACTACCACTTTGAGGACAGACTCATCTATAAATCAAACATAATACAGCATTCCAAATTTGACTAACTCGATTTGCTGCTTCCAAGGTAACAGAGAAAAACAGAAAATGATAAGTGAATGAAATGACCAGAGATCTCAGTTCATTTGATGAAATGTCATTTTTGCTACTATTGATGCTCCTTGACCCATATTTTTAATACAAAGGTGCCGCATTTTATGTCAGAAATTTTAGACAAATGCTGTCAACTCAATTCAAGTATTTGCTCCACTTCTCTAGGCTTTATAAACACTGGGGTGATTAGTGTCAAGAGTGGTAAGCAGTGACTCACCAAATCACTTTTATAAAGATAGTGAAATGCCATACGTAAGCCAAAGGTGCTGCTTTTGGCAATGATACGTATTTTAATCCATTTCATCTTTTCTAAAATTAAAATTTATTAAAATTAATAAAATTTATTAAAATTTATTGAGATATGATTTACATACCGTAAAACTTATCCTCTTTAGTGTACAGGTCTGAGTTTTGACAAACACATACAGTCAACTAACCACCATCACTATGATCAAGATCTAGGACAGTTTTTCACCCAAAAAAACTTCCTTTAAGTCCTTTTGTAGTCAGTCCCTCTCCCATCCCCAGATGCTGGCAACTACTGACCTGTTTGTGGTTCCATTATCTTTTCAAACTCAACAACAGTCTTATGAACTTATGATGTCTATTCACAGATGCCTGGCAAAACCCTATTTCCGAAAAAATATGATGTGTGAAATATTAGAACCACCAAAAAGTATTTGATGAGATTGTAAAAGAAGAAACCATCCTTTCTAATTATTGACAGAGATTAGACTGAGGTCTCCAAAAGAGTTTATAAACTTTTCTCTAAGATAAGCTTTTCACTTAATAATTGAATGATGGATGAAACAAGCATGAATTTTAATATACACTCAATAAATATATACTTTTAATGAATTTTAATATACACTCTGTAACAGGAAGGTGGTAAATATAAACTTGTTTTTATTTTCCAAGTCAATCTCATTTGTAGAATTCTGTAATTATACTTCTTTAATGGTATTATTTCCCTATTTTTATTATCCATTTTGTTTTAAAAATATCTTGACAAATATACATGCCATTTAATTTTGAAATATATGCTATTATTATTCAATTACATCAGTGTTAAATCTGCTGTGAAAGCAGGTACTTGAGTTGCTGGGATTTCTTTTCATTTTATACTACTATTTAGGGGGAGTGATATTTCATGTAATTTATTTTAAAAAGTAATGTATCAACTGATTTTTAATTGGTCTGAATAAATGAACACAGCATCCACGGTATGAGCCAGAAATGGTGGCATACAGTTCAGTGGTTAAGGCCTTGGGCTTTGGAATCAGTAAGGCCTGGCTTCCAGTCCTAGCTCCGTTATTTTTTGGTTGTGCGAACTTTGGGCAAAACCTCCTGCCTCAGGGCCTCAGTTTCCTCATCCACTAAATGTGAATAACAGCATTACCTCTCTCATACGGCAGGAATGCGAGCTCTCAGGACCGCATCTGGCATATGTAAGTCCTCAATAAACAGTACCTATTATATACCAGATGGAATTTCCATTTGAAAAACATTAAAATGTTCTATTATTCAGCACTCATTCTGGAACAATAAGGAAAGTGCCTGTGTTTATATTTTATGGTGGCAGAGTGAGGTATGGAGACAGCTGAATGGCGCAGATGACTCAGGTGCACACGCTTTCAAGCAGAGCAGGAAGGCACCTGGCCGTTCGGATAACTCTAGTGATTTAGGGTATGATGCTGCCATCCCTTCTAAGAGTGGATTTTTCTTTCACTTTTCTTTCTTTTTTTTTGTAACAAGTAAAGAAGGAATAGTGCTTTGTGATGGAAGTCATAAGAAAGCCAAGGATGACTACAGGAGTGATCTACATACATGTTGTAGTAAAAAAGGCCTCTTAACCATTAACTTTTCTCTGTAAAGAGAAGGGGACTTCATTAAGTGCAAATTCATTTTGTGAGGCCAACTGTATCAGAACAGCTTATCGGATAATGCTCAGGTTTGAAATAATTTTTTTAACTAACTCAGTTCAAAATGGAAATAAGTATTTCACATCCCTTACCCGTTTTCACTCTTATTCCTTTAGATACATCATAATAGTTTTTTTCTTCCACTTTTTACGAGCAAATTTATAGCACTCATAAAATTTTAGACTAAGCCAGAAGGAAACTGAGAGGATATCTAGTACAATCCTTTTTTTAAGGTAAAGGATGAGACCCAGAAGGGAACTGACTAAAACGAAATAAAAGCCAAAGTGGGCCTGGGACCAAGTGTCTTAATGCCCTACCGGTTACTCTTTTCACAATGAGGGTATCAAATACTTCGGCTAGGCAGTCACCAGAGCTCCCCTATCTGTGACAGACATCATCCACCAGTCACTCCGTCCTTCTGAGCCTTAACCCTTCAGAGTCCTAAACCACACACAAGCTAGCTGTTGCCAGTGACGGTGGCCATGCTTCTAGTGATGCAGTAAATGTAAATCCCAAATTTCCTACTTAGAATGTCAAGACCTTTTTTCTCCTTTCCATTCTGTCTTTTGAATTTTAGAAATAAATAAACTTTTCTGGGGTGCCTGGGTGGCTCAGTCGTTAAGCGTCCGCCTTTGGCTCAGGTCATGATCCCAGGGTCCTGGGATCGAGCCCTGCATCGGGCTCCCTGCTTGGCGGGAAGCCTGCTTCTCCCTCTCCCACTCCCCCTGCTTGTGGTCCTGCTCTCACTATCTGTCAAATAAATAAAATCTTTGAAAAAAATTTCAAAAAATAAACTTTTCTGGGCAACAATGATCTTTTAGGGAAATAACTAAATCTACACACTAAAAATATGGTGGGAGATTGTGAAATAAATTCATTTTGTCAAAAATTTAAAGATAAATATAAGCAAAATTTATCTGTGGTGACAGAAATCAGAAAGTGGCTGCTCAGGGCCAGGGGTTGACTAAGAAGAAGCAGGAGAAAACTTTCTGGGGTGACATAATTGTTCTGTATCTTGAGAGATATGGTCAAACTATACACTTAAGATCTGCTCATCTCTTGGGCGCCTGGCTGGCTCAGCTGGGAGAGCATGTGACTCTTTATCTCAGGGTTGTGAGTTCGAGCCCCACATTGGGTATAGAGATTACTTAAATAAAATTTAGGAAAAAAAGATCTGTGCATCTCACCGTTTGTAAATTGAATCATTTAAAAACAATCTAACTTACTCATGTAGTATCATTTAGATACTACATTCATATAAAATTCTCATCCAAAGAAGAGACTTGGACTGTAATCCAGCTTACGAAGGGCATGACCAAACTCATAGAGACCTTTCAAAATCAAGCTAAACACACTCTGTTCAGCTACTTATAAGAACAACATCCACTGTGCCAGAACTTGTGTATGTGGAGAGCAAGTAAAGAGTTTCCTTCCAGGCTATACCAATTAATGGATTCTTTCTTAAAATAGGAATGAAAGTAGTATTTAAGAACCGTGTACACTACCATGATAACGTATCTATTGTTCTCCACTGTCTACTAAAATGCATTTAGAATTTAATGACAGAACTTCATCCTAAAGACCTTAGAGAACTTAAGATGATAAGGAAAGTAGGGTTGAATACAGTGTCATAATTAAGTTTTTATATTTCTATTTTCTGTATTACTTTCCTATAAAAACTTGGGGTGTGTATAACATTCATCCCACTGCATACCATATCTGGTAAGAGTCTCAACAAAAACAAGAAGTACTGAAAAGGAATAAAAAATTGGCTCTCTTTTGGTTGATAAGCACATGATGTTGGCTCAGGAACCACAGGTGAATAGGAAGACAAACTGGTTAAAGATAGTGTACTGTTGGGGCTTTATCACCACAAAGAGAAGGGGGAGAAGAGGGCGAATTTAGAGTTCAAGCTACAGATAGGAAGGGAAGATGAATATTTCACCTACTTCAGCAAAGTGTACTTACATGATAAATTTTAGCATACGTTAGTGAAAGGTCTAGTCTAAAATCTGGCACGCTGAGACACGGTAGCTGGTGAAGAAAACATTATGGTCCTATTAGTAATAAGGGATCTGCGGGAGTGTGACTTGTCCTCCCCTTAATGATGGTTATACGTACCAAATCTGGTTTTACTCTGTGAGTCAAGGGAAAGGAGACCCACATGGAGTACAGGGTGGTGAGCACCGTGGAGAGCCAGGACTGCTGAACCTCCCGGCTTCTGGGAATGCGGTGAATGTAGTATTCGGGAAGCTAGAAGGAAACAGTAAAAATCCAAATCAACTAGGCCACTGATACCCAAGGTAAACATAGTAACAGTTAAAACTGTTGAAGTTTGGGGAAGTAACCAAACATAGTAATATTTCTGTAGCAAAACATGAATATTCACACTAAGTAGGATAAATAAAGACTATAAGACTCAAGCCATTTCAGTCAAACTCTCACTCTTTGCAGATGATATGATACTGTATGTGGAAAACCCAAAAGACTCCATCCCAAAACTGCTAGAGCTCATACAGGAATTCAGTAAAGTGGCAGGACATAAAATCAATGCACAGAAATCAGTGGCATTCCTATACACCAACAACAAGACAGAAGAAAGAGAAATTAAGGAGTCGATCCCATTTACAATTGAACCCAAAACCGTAAGATATCTTATGGTTAATAACCAGAGGCAAAGAATCTGTACTCAGAGAACTATAAAATACTCATGAAAGAAATTGAGGAAGACACAAAGAAATGGAAAAACGTTCCATGCTCATGGATCGAAGAAAACATATTGTGAAGATGTCAATGCTACCTAGAGCAATCTACACATTTAATGCAATCCCTATCAAAATACCATCCACTTTTTTCAAAGAAATGGAACAAATAATCCTAAAATTTGTATGGAACCAGAAAAGACCCCACATAGCCAGAGGAATATTGAAAAAGAAAAGCAAAGCTGGTGGCATCACAATTGTGGACTTCAAGCTCTATTACAAAGCTGTCATCATCAAGACAGTATGGTACTGGCACAAAAACAGGCACATAGATCAGTGGAACAGAATAGAGAGCCCAGAAATGGACCCTCAACTCTATGGTCAACTAATCTTCGACAAAGCAGGAAAGAATATCCAATGGAAAAAAGACAGTCTCTTCAACAAATGGTGTTGGGAAAATTGGGCAGCCACATGCAGAAGAATGAAACTGGACCATTTCCTTACACCACACACACAAATAGACTCAAAATGGTTGAAAGACCTCAATGTGAGACAGGAGTCCATCAAAATCCTAAAGAAGAACACAGGCAGCAACCTCTTCGACCTCAGCAGCAGCAACCTCTTCCTAGAAATATTGCCAAAGGCAAGGGAAGCAAGGGCAAAATGAACTATTGGGACTTCATCAAGATAAAAAGCTTTTGCACAGCAAAAGAAACAGTTAACAAAACCAAAAGACAATCAACAGAATGGGAGAAGATATTTGCAAATGACTATCAGATAAAGGGCTAGTATCCAAAATCTATAAAGAACTCATCAAACTCAACACCCAAAGAACAAAGAATCCAATCAAGAAATGGGCAGAAGACATGAACAGACATTTTTCCAAAGAAGACATCCAAATGGCCAACAGACATGAAAAAGTGCTCAACATCACTTGGCATCAGGAAAATCCAAATCAAAACCTCAATGAGATACCACCTCACACCAGTCAGAACGGCTAAAATTAACAAGTCAGGAAACAACAGATGTTGGCGGGGATGCGGAGAAAGGGGAACCCTCCTACACTGTTGGTGGGAATGCAAACTGGTGCAGCCACTCTGGAAAACAGTATGAGGGTTCCTCAAAAAGTTGAAAATAGAGCTGCCCTACGACCCAGCAATTGCACTACTGGGTATTTACCCCAAAGATACAAATGTAGGGATCTGAAGGGGTACGTGTACCCTGATGTTTATAGCAGCAATGTCCAAAATAGCCTAACTATGGAAAGAGCCCAGATGTCCATCGACAGATGAATGGATAAAGAAGATGTGGTATATATATACAATGGACTATTATGCAGCCATCAAAAGGAATGAAAGCTTGCCATTTGCAATGACATGGATGGAACTGGAGGGTATTATGCTGAGCAAAATAAGTCAATCAGAGAAAGACATGTATCATATGATCTCAGGATAAGAGTGTAAGTGGTAGCTGGGAAGAAAGCCAAGCTGAAAGTTCTACCAGTGAGATAAACAGGGAAACAGTCAGGTGATGACAAGCTTGGGGAAGGGCAGTGATGAGGAGCTAGGCAAGGGATCAGAACCATGACCCCAACTGGCAGGGGACAGGAGAGTCCGTACCGTGCAGCTGTCCAGCCTAAGCTCTATACTGGAGAGGCCCTCCATCTCCATCTCTATGTTATTATTTTTTAAAAGATTTTATTCATGTATTTGAGAGAGAGAGAGAAAGAGCATGAGAGAGCACATGCATGAGGTGAGGGAGGGGGGCAGAGGGAGAGGGAAAAGCAGGCTCCCCGTTGAGCAGAGAGCCCAATGCTGGGCTCAATCCCAGGACCCCGAGATCATGACCTGAGCTGAAGTCAGATGCTTAACCGACTAAATCACCCAGGCACACCTACATTATTATTTTTTGATGAGAAGTTCAGGTAACTGGAAATCCTACCAAAAAGATTTCTCTCTAAATTCAAGTCTCTACCCACCCATTCCCCCCGCTACAGCAGGTCTGTTCTCCCCAGAGGCACCTTTCCCAACTAAACTTTCTAAGATACCCCCTGCCCCCACATGTACACATACTCTTCCTTCCCCCATTAGCAGGTCTGCTTTATGTTTTAAAATTACTCCACTCACTCTACTGGCATATTATATACTTACTTATTTACTATCTGTTTCCCCCATTAGAATATAACTTACCTGAGGAGGCCAGGAAATTTAATCACTGCCATCTGTGCTTGTTAAGAGTACCTGGTTTACAGCCTGATGCTCAATAAATGTTTATTGAACGAGTGATTCAATACGTTGTTTATCGCACATTAATATAAATTAATCCAGTCTTCCTGGTACCTAGCTGAGATGTATTTAGATGGAGAATATAAAAGGGCAGAAAGAAGGTGATTTTCAGATTGTACATTTAGGGCCTTATTTGTAGAGGCCACTCAATAAATGGGTTGAACTGAATGGAATTCCTTGGATTAGAGAGGAAAAAACCTATGCAAAGCAGGGGGGATTTTAGCTCATAAACAGCTAGAGCCAGGAGGGACCAAGTTCTAAGGACTTGGAGAAACAGGAGGGAGGATGAAAAGGAATCAAAGACCAATGCCCCACCACCCCAACAATGTGTCCTAGGTAGATAGCCTACACTTCTCTTCTGTGAACTGATCATTCACAAGGGCCTCAAGAAATTTCTCAGCCCTTGTGGGTCCTCTCCCCAGAAAACAGATCCATGAGAGAGGAGTGTCCCCGAGGCTTTGAGCTCTGAGCATAAAAGGGAAGGGATCCTGCTAGGTTAGAGCAAGTGGAGCATCCCATCTGCACCCAGAACTGCTTGAAAAACTCTGTGCCCACAGTTTCTGTATTATACCTGTTATGAGGCATGTAGTCAAGTGGATGGGAACCTGGGGCCATCTTGATAAGAACAGGACTCTCAGATTAGTTATGCTTGACACACCGAGACTGGTGCTGGGGTATGTGATGTCCTGTATTGTCTAAAGAAAACACTGAAGGCTAGGCCATGGCAAAAATCTCGAGAGATTTTAAATTACTTTATATATTAAATAATCAAATACATAAGGAAGTCAACAAGGAAAAATTATTAATAGAAGGCTTATATTTTGGTTTTAAACAAAACAAAGTTTTGTTTAAACAAACAAACAAACAAACCCCCCCACAAATTCCTCTGAAGATAAAAGAATGGGACAGAGTTTCAGAGAGCTACAATTTAGGCCTGGCTATGACCTTTGGCCAGACATTCCTAGGGGTTGTGGCATCTGAGAAATCCAAATAAAGGCATCTTCACAGACAAATTGTTTTTGTTAGTCTGTACTTTTGCCTTGAGGGAAATGTCCCTGACCCTCTTTCATGTCCTACTAATGGGATGCAGGACATAAAGGAAGCCTCAGCCATCACTTTACCACCCCCAGACCCAATATTTGATTCAGGAGTGGCCACACAACCCAAGCAGGGTCAGTCTTTCCTGGATTCTGGACCCAGGAAAAGTTCTTTCTTTGAAAGACACTGTGGGCTGTTAAACTGGCTCTGAATCTATTCCACTGGGGCCAAGAAATGCATACTTGTTCTAGTATTCCTGTATTCACTAGGCTTTTCTACAACAACTCAAAAGTGAACTATCATTTTTGCTACCAAAACATGCCATTCTGCATTTCTAAGCCAGAAACCAACAAATAAACAGTACAATCTATCATAAATATATTTCCTGCTTATATATGAAGGTCATATATAAGGAAATCTATGTTAGGCTTGGCAGGGATGGAGGGTGGGGGGACCTGCTCTGGTGTTTCCTTCTTTCAAAATCTCTACACATATTCCGCATCTATGTACTTATTCCCTACGTCCCTGCTACTCCTGGTCTGACTGTCACCATCTCTCTGCATGACTACGATAGCCTCCTAACTCATCTCTGCTTCTCCTTTGGCTCCCCTACGCTTTACTCTCTACAGAACTGCCAGAGATTATAACGTACAGCAGATCTTCCCTTTCATTCTTTAAAACTCTCCAAAGGCTTGTGATAAAATCCAAATTTCTAATCATTCCTTGTTCACTCACCAGTCATACCAGCCTTCTTTCTGCTGTGTGAATGCATCAAGCTCATTCCTTCCCGAGGGTCTTTTTGGTTCATTCTGAGCAGTCTGCTGTGCCCCCCAGATTGGCTCAACTCAAGTCTTGCTCAAACATTACCTCCTCAGAGAGGAGGCAGGCTCCCCACCGGCCCTTCCCCTGATACTCGGTCACCCTCCACCTCACTGTCTTATTTTACCATCTTCACAGCAATTATTCATACTTCCAATTAACTTGTTCATTTGTGTGTTTGACTGTTGTCTGCCTCTTTGTTCAGAACCAAGCTCCATGAGAGGAAAGGATTTCATCTTGTTCACTGCTGTAATCCCAGTGTGTAGAACGGTGTTTCACACATCACGGGTGCTCAGTCAGTACTTGCTGAACAGATAAGTGACTGTCAGTGTAGTTTCTAGATGTCCAGACTGTGGTCTGTGCTGGAGAAGATGCTGACTCTTTACCTTATAAAATCTCAGGGCTGCAA